CTCGACCATCATATCTAAATTTGGCAGTAAGGAAAATAGTTTTTTAACCAAAATCACGTGTAACCCTTTTTTAAAAATTTTTTTTGCATTTTTGAATTTTTTTGAGCGCGTGGCGCAGCAATAGGAGGTCTAGACCAAGCCAACCATATCTCATTTTTTTTACTAAATAAAAAGTGACTGATTTTTTCACCAGTTATAATCCTTATAATATAAATATATATTATGCAATAATCTCAATTTTTGTCAGAGGGCATTTAAGCTACCTTTTGCTAGAGAACCACCCATATATACTGATATATTAATATGTTGTGGTCACATGGGTTCTAAGCGATGATGAATTCTCTTTTACATTATTAATAAAAATTATCAATTAAATCATACAAATAATCTGTAATCGTAGCTCATCACTAGGATTTATATCCGCAGATAGTGTGCACATTACTGTATCGTATATTTCTTTTATTTCTTGACAATTGAAATTCTTTGTTAGTTTTACCAACCATAGAATGTGAAATCAGTAAACTCAAATCGCAATGTAACTTATACTCCTAGGACCCGTCCAATCGATGACAGCACGGAATAAGAAAGGAAACAAATTAATCATTGTCAAATCTGTTGGTAAACTTCAAAATTAAAGCCAATATCGTGAGTACTAATTAAAGTTGTTTTACAGAGATCAGAATTAATCCGTTTGTTATATGTTTCAAACTCAGATGATAGCATCGTTTAACGCTTTTTTATGCTTTGTAGGCGACACACCTTGATATTAATTAAAAGTCGACTTGTTTGCTCATGCTTGATATTGATATTTACCGCGATGCGATTTTTGTTTAAATATTACGCGCGTAACACTGATAGAAATGGTAAGGTGTGGAGTAAAATTGGTTCCTTTAACTAACGTTTTCTAAATATTTATACTTATCAAATTTTTGAAGCATCTTCTTAAGAGGAAAGTGTCGACTTTAAATCCCTCTTAAAGGCATTATTATATTGAATGTTTTCTCCAAATATGTTTACTTCTAATTTAATGAATATATTTGCAATGATATGTGCAGATTAGAGATGTTAATTTAATTCTAAAAAATACAACAATTATTAATCAATTTTTTGTTTCGTTTCAAAAAAAAGAACATGATCAATAAATAGACTCGAACTAAATCTGTTTCGTAACAAAGTGATTTGTTGTCCTTAATTGTGGTCAAGAAATGGATAAAACATTTCCTTGGAGACCTTGTTTAATTTTTATAGAATTTGTTTATTATAATTAACAATGTACTGCATGAACATGTTTGCTGGAACGCGGAAATACGTTAACTGTTGCCAGTCGCATTGGTTAAATTGATTCACAAAAGAGTGTTGCATAAATTGGAAATTAAAAAAAATGTATAGGATTCTTGGAGTTCAGTCCGAATTAATAAAAGAATGTAGTGGGAATAAAGCTCATCACGAGCTGGCTTGCGAGCCAAAAAACTTATTCAGCTTGCGAACCTACTAAGTTATTTGGCTTGCAAGCTGGCTCATGCGGTACCTTAAGTGGAATAGCAGAGAAGAAATAGTAGTGTTGTCACCATATTATATTCATTGTATAAACTATTTAATAATCTTAAATTTGTTTGTTATAAGCATTATCTGTTGATATGGACAAAAAAAAAAAAAGATTTTTTACCAAGTCCAAGATTTTAGTCTTTTGAGTAACGCATGTTCTATTTGTTTAATATATAAAAAACTGTATTATTGATGAAGCAGCAAATATATAATTAATTATCAATGCGAATTAATTGTCAACGTTGACATGTATTATTTTGTGATACACATTTGTGGCTAAAAAGACTAAAAAGAAAAAAAATTTTTTTGACAAATTATAATAAAAAACACAAAAATGGAGAACATTTTAGATAAAAATGATGAATATTCAAAAAAAAGATGTATGTTTTATGAGGAATGTCCAACTTGTAATAGATATAATACTAATCAGGCATGGTGTCAATCATGTGATCCAAAGCTATTAACTGAAGGATGGACTAGTGGTAATGAAACATTAGATGAGTTGATTAAAAGTACACAACTCAAAACAATTGGATGTGATAATAAATATTATCTTTTATGGATTTCTTATAATGATTTAACAAATATTGAAAAGATAGGTGAAGGTGGCTTTGCAACTATATATGAAGCTACTTGGTTAAATGATGATAAAAGTACAAATGATGATAATGAAAGAACCAGTAAATGTATGCCCGTGACATTAAAAAAACTACATAATTCACAGAATATTTCTAATGAACTTCTTAATGAGGTATTTTGTTTTGTTTTTTTATTTATTTTTGGATTTTTTAAATATTATTGTTGTAATAAATATTTTATTGTTCAAAAATTATATGAAGCTTAAAGATGATACAATTCGTATTTATGGATTAACACAAGATCCAATTACAAAAGAATATATCTTTGTAATATATTTCATGGAAGAGGAAAGGGATAGAAAATATGGGGTATGTCCAACTTGCAATAGATATAATACTAATAGTTCATGGTGTAAATCATGTGATCCAAAATTATTAACTGAAGGATGGACTAGTGGCAATGAAACATTAGATGAATTGATTAAAAGTATACAACTTAAAGCAATTGGGTATGATAATAAATATTATCTTTCATGGATTTCTTATAATGATTTAACAAATATTGAAAAGGTGGGTGAAGGTGGTTTTGCAACTATATACAAAGCTACTTGGGTAAATGGTAAGAAGTACACAGATGATAGAAAAAGGTATAGTAAAGATAGGACTGTAGCATTAAAAAAACTACATAATTCACAGAATATTTCTAATGAATTTCTTAATGAGGCAAATTATTTTATTTTTCTATTTATTTTCAAATTTTTTGATTATTATTATTGTAATTAAATATTTTATTTTGTAATTTTAGTTCAAAAATTATACAGAGTTCCTTGATAAAACAGATATAATTCATATTTATGGATTAACACAAGATCCAATAACAAAAGAATATATATTTGTAATGAAATATATAAAAGATGGAAATCTTCAAAATTATTTAACAAAATATTTTAAAAATTTAAAATGGGAACATAAAATTAAGATTCTTGGGCAAATTATCACTGGGTTAAAAGATATTCATGAAAAAGGAATTATTCATCATGATCTTCATAGTGGTAATATTCTTCAGTCTAAAAAATTTGTTGAGTCATATATTACAGATTTAGGATTATCATGCCCAGCTAGTCAAGCATTATCATCAAACAAAAATGATATATTTGGAGTACTACCATATGTTGCACCAGAAATTTTAAAGGAGAAACCATATACAACAGCATCAGATATATACAGTTTTGGAGTTCTGATGTCTGTAGTATCAACTGGACAACAACCTTTTAATAATTTTGCACATCATGTAGAACTTGCAACAAAAATATGTGGAGGTGCAAGACCAAGATTCTCAAACAACACACCAAAATTCTACATTGAACTAGCATTCAGATGCATGGATGCTGATCCAGATAAACGTCCAACTGCTAAAGAAATTCTTGAGATTATTTATGATTGGAGTTCATTTATTTCAGGTTGGGGATATTCAGAAAAACAAAAAGAATGTAAGGATGAAAAATCAATTAGAAAAATGTTTTATAAAATGGATGAAATAAAATTTGATCCTTCAACAATTACTGCAACAATTCATCCAAATGCAGTTTATACTAGCAGATTATTAAATTTTACAAACCTTCCACAACCTGTGAATTCCAATAAAGTAACAATTATTGGCACTAATAATGGTAATTATTAATATTCAATCATTGACTATTTTCATTTTTATTAAATTAACAATATTTAATAAATATCTGCTCTTGTGATAAATATTTTGTAGATTCTAAACAAGTTGATTTAGCTATACCAGATGACTTACCTGAATAAGTTAAATCCTATCACTTGTTATGTATTAAATTATTTATTTATTTTATTTATCTGGCTACTACAATTTAAATGTCTTTGAGTAATGATATTATATAATAACCTCTAGATTTTTTTTTCATTTTGAAATTCGGATGTCAAATATGCACACTAAAATAATTGATTTTGACAAAAAAATAAATGTAACCATAAATTTACATAATTGCAGTATTGTTTGTTTCTTATCTTTTCAAATCAATGGTTTCATTTTTTTATAGCATTAACAATTGAAGTGATGCACTTATCAATATATCATATAATATATAATATATAAATAATTTATTTAATACATGTACCTGAATAATTTAAATATAATAAAAATTATACCTAAATTATCAAATAAAAAGCCCACATCTAATCATTTCAACTTGTTGAACCACTATTACAGTCAACTTGAGAAGCGTTTCCCCATCCTCCAGATTTAGTTGTCCCAAATGACTCTCTGAGTACATTAAAAAAATACCACCTTCAATAGATAGGTAGGTCCTGCTTGTGTTGTTACTAGCCACATTGATGCTTGAGAAAAGAAGAAATTTTCAAAATTAGAACCAGATACTGGTCACCAAAAATGCAAACTGAGAAACATCTATCAAAAACCACAACCTTGCCTTCGAATTTCCTTTTTAAAAAAGAAATAAGTGTGTAAAGGCTTCCTCAGATCTTCTACCCCTTGACGATGGCAAAAGACAAATGGACCCTCTTGCATGAAGTGGCAACACCATGCCAAGCAATCACCCATTACACATCTACCTGCACTACCGAAATATGCTGGACAAGTTGTGGAAGGGCCCTGGGATGGTAAATTAGGCAAGTGGGAACATTTCTTCAATTATGACGAATTTCAAAAACCATGGAATGATCCACATGCACAGCTTTATCTACACAATCCATGCAAGAATTCCTGGCCCCATCATGAAAAAAATGTTGCATCATTTGGTCATGAAGTATTGCAACCATCAATCGAGAACCATGTTGCAAAGGGTTCCCTCAGCCACAATCGGATCAAAACCCCAAATCTGAAATTGAAATTATTCAACACCAAAGATAAAAAGGTAGGGTGATTGTCCAGTGAATGCCACACATTCTTTATGTTTTGCTAGATACACAGTGAGCCCTTTTCTTTAATAACTTGTGATGAAGATTGCAGCAAGATCAGAACTAGACTTGCTGGATGTTTTACCGCATATTGAGAAAGCTTCCCCCTAAGATACAACAAAACAATAAATTCACTTAAAAATAGCTATCTAAAAAAAAAGACCATTTCAGAGGCATATGAGACAATCTTAAAGCTGCTTTTACCTGAGCTTGAGAATCAAAATCTATGTTTCATCAGCTGACATCATTGAAAAATCGTCGGATGGAAAATACACCCACTTCTTTTTGACAGGTTTGGAAAGTCCTTCAAATCATTAATCTAAAAGAAAAGAATACTCCCCGCTTATGTTGCTAGCTAGAACATTGGTGAAAAGACACACACTCATCCTTGAAAGTGAGGAATATACAAAGAAATATTGATTTTTCAAACTGTGCACATAAAACTGAGCTACATAAAATCAATGCCGTTAAATATCTATGGTGGATAATGATCTGCTCATCTCATCAGCAATACCTTCATAATAATGACTCAACACATATAACACCCTTGATATTTTCTTTTTGGTATTGGTATGTTGACATTAATATGGCTCACATTAACCAATACTTTCTTTTCTAGAACTTGTTTTCAATATCAAATCACTATTTTAAAAAAACCCCATTTATAAGAGTCTAATTTTTATTTTTATTTTTTACCATTATTTTCTGAATTACTTGTCATTGTTTTTCTCAAGTTGCATTCGAATTATTCATAATAACAGCTTAAATTATTCGTTTTATTCGAATTATTTGTTTTATTGAATTACTCGTCTTATTTGAATCATTTGTTTTATTTTGAATCATTTGTTTTATTTTGAATTATTCATTTTATTTTGAATTCATTTTATTTGAATTATTCGTATTATTTTGAATTATTCGAATCATTCGTTTTATTTCAAATTATTCGTTTTATTTATTTTATTTCGATTATCAAATTATTAGTTTTATTTGCTTTATTCGAATTATTCGTTTATTGATTTTATTTCTAATTGTTTATCCATTTTATTTGGATCATCAAATTATCGAATTATGCGTTATTCATTATTCGAATAAACTTCATGATGTAATTCAAATACTCAAATTCATAACGTGTAAAACAAATAATTCGAATAAAACTTATTCGAACAGAAACCCTAAACAAGTAGTATAGTTGTATATAGTGATTTTAGTTTAGTTTGAACATTATTGGCTGTGCGCAAGGTAAAGTATGCCAGATTTGGTGACTCCGTAATAAATAACTCAGATCGCACGCTCGCAAATATTATAGGCCGTAAATAATTACGGCATTACAGTTTTACGATTATGACTTTAACGATTTTAGGATGTCATGCTGATTTTTTTTATGTAATGCTGAATTGTTGTAATTCAGGTATATACACAAATCATAAAAAAAAATTTTTTTAAAGGAAATGTTGCATGTGAAACTGAAATTGAAATCTGAATATGAAATTTGATTGGCTAATTTGAATTTCACTCAACAAAAATATAGGTGTTGGTTGAGTGAGAACTTATTAAATATATTGTTTTTGGGTTAAAAAATAACTCCTTTAGAAAAAGTTTTTTTTGGTCTATTACACAAATAATAAAAAATCACAAATAAATTTTAAAGATGGAAAATACTTTTGATGAAAATAAACATCATGACGACACTTCTATTAACAAAAATGATGAATATTCTGGTAAAAGAATAAAATATTTTGGGTAATGTCCAACTTGCAATAGATATAACACTAATAAGGCATGGTGTCAATCATGTGATCCAAAGCTATTAACTGAAGGATGGTCGAGTGGCAATGAAGCATTAGACAAGTTGATTAAAAGTAGACAACTTGAAACAACTGGTCATTATAATCATCTTCAATGGATTCCTCATAATAATTTAGCAAATATTGAAAAGATTAATGAAGGTGGGTTTGCAACTATATACAAAGCTACTTGGTTAAATGGTTATAAACATATAAGTTATGAAAATGGAAACTATACCAGAACCATCAAAGATAAGACTGTGGTATTAAAAAAACTACATGATTCACAGAATTTTTCTGATAAATTTCTTAATGAGGTAAATTATTTTATTTTTATTTCCAGATTTTTTTAATATTAGTATTGCTTTAATTAAATATTTTATTTGTCATTTTAGTTCAAAAATTATATAAAGTTTCATGATAAAGGAGATATAATTCATGTTTATGGATTAACACAAGATCCAGTTGCAAATGAGTATATATTTGTAATGGCATATATAAAAGATGGAAATCTTCAAAATTATTTAGCAAAATATTTTAAAAATTTAAAATGGGAAAACAAAATTGATATTCTTAGACAAATTATTAGAGGTTTAAAAGTTATTCATTTCCTAGGTGAACTGCCAACTTTTTTGATTGTGAGGATGAAGCACAAAGTGTCAAATTGGCAATCTGTATTTTGGCTTTGCATGTCACATTTGAATTTGAGGGTGAGGCATGAAGTGCCGAAATAGTATTCATGACCTGGCTTTGAATGATGCATTCAATTACTGATCAAGGGTGAGGCACATAGTGCCAAATTGTTATCCTTTATTTGGTACTACCACAAAGCATAATTTTTATAATATATGTATATCTGTATTAATTATACCTTGGGGTAATACCATGAGTATGCTATGTTTTGGATCTCTAGAAAGCTTTCTCACATAGTCGATACTTTTGGGTACTACCACTTCATGTCAAAATTTGTCCTATGTTTTCTTGTTTTACTATCGAAAAATTTATTCTTACTTTTGCGTATTACTGGGTTAAAAAATTTGATTAACTTTGATGTATCACCTTTACATATTACTGATTAAAAAATTTGTTCTTACCTTTGCGTATTACTTTACTAAAAATTCAACCTATGCTTTGTTGTTTTACTGGATCGAAAATTTTGATTACTTTTGCATACTACTGAATCAAAAAATTTGTTTGCACTTTGGATACTTCCATTATAGCATCTGTTATTTATGGTGAAATAAATTTAGCAAGGTCAGTATATCATATACTTTGAGAGCTAGAAATTTACACCTAGTCATTTTTTCTTCTATAAATTTGATATCAGCAAATAAAAATAAAAAATTCATGATAAATAATAAAATTTCACCCAAATTGGGCAACAATGTAAATTTTTATAGATTTTATTAATCACATAGATATGATGTATCATTAAGCAAATTGATCATATTGCAATATACCCAAACTGATTGTTATTGAATTGAGATGCCAAATATTTACAACAAGATAGTAAGTATATCATTAAAGTAGATGCACCCCCACACCCAAGAATAATGTGCTCATTCCATCGCATTTTGTGCCATTGTACTGCATCAAAAATCGCACCTACAGCCCAATGACCAATATATGGTGCTCTTGAAGGATGATCTGTTCTTGGTGATATTACTGCAACTGATATAATCCCGGGGTTTAGATTTGCTTGAAAGGGTGATATTCCAAAAGTAATAACAATTAACACAAACTCAGTGTTTGGACAATATGGCTGAACATATTCAATCTTGTTTAATGACATTGACACGATCCTTAGTCCTATTGAATGCCACCTGTAATGTTCAATAATTTAGTAATAACAAGATTGTTAAGAAACGATTACACATTTCTATAAGAAAATTATTACCTCAACCCATAATAAAGGAGGTGGAGATACATTAATGACAGGTGCCGACGAGTTGACCATTGATTCCATCCCCCCACATCTGGTCGAAATTCATTACCATTAACTACAGATAACCCATTAGTTACAACCAACCAAGCTGGAAGTTGTTGATTGAGTGAATTCATTAATGCCTTATGTATTCATTCCTTCATTAAACCATCAAACTGAGTAATAACAAAAATTAGAAAATGAACATAAAATAATCATAAACAATAATAACACTTACTTTGATGAACAGTCTATCATTGATCCTTTCAGCTTGGAAAATATTATGAATAGTTTCAAGAATTTTCTCATGTTTTTTGTCATTAATGGGTGGCAAATCTATTTCAATGACATCTATATCATCATATTTAGGTATTTCTTCCAACGCTACTTTAATCTCTTTTTCAATTTGAGCAATAACCTAAGGGTAACTAATTGTTAGATTTATTTCAAACAGTATGTTCCAAAGAAATACTTTAAATACTTTGGATTCTGTGTTCTTAGCGTAGGGTTGTTAAATGGAGAATAATGCTCTGGCATCAACCTGGGTTATGTATCACTCCATCATGGAGTGGGTTAAGATTTCTAATTTTTTGTACTAACCCGGAGCAAAATATTTTATTATAATCCAGGTTGCTCCAAATTATTTTAGTAATTTGATTATTAATCAATTAAATATTTCTAATATCTAATCTAATTAATTATTTACACAGAGTGTTTATGATTATTTACGTGATAAAAAATTATATAAAGACTTATTTTTCGTAGGGGTGGTGGTCAAGTGGTGGTCAGGGGAAGGGCGGCAAAACTAAGTTTTTTTTTGAAAATTTAATTCAAGTAAAATTTTATTCTTATTAAAACTTTTACAATTATTATTCAATTTTTAAACATTTAATAAAAAGGAAATTAAATTTGGAACCAAAATATATAATTATATTTGATATGCAAGTTTTAAAATTATTATAATTTAAAAATCGGTATAATTATTTTAAAATGAGAATTATAATTATAATTATTACTCCATGGAGCAACCCATGGAGTATTAACCCAGTACATTTAACCCAGGTTGGGTTGGGTTAACACTTGCTCCACAATAATATGAACCCAACCCAACCCATTATGTTCCATTAACAACCCTATCTTCGCGAGACTTTGAATCAAATTCTTTATTTTTGGAATGGTGTCATCTTGTATAAATTTAATTGCATGTTAATGGAATGCATAGCTAAAGCTGTTTAATCAATAACAAAAGAACAAAAATAGTACCACTCCACTACTTAAATGATTGCCAACTCTAATTCATTCGCATTTCCTGAAAATGTGGTTGTCATGAATAGATAGTGGAAAAAATATTATTTTTCAGTTTAAAGACTTTACACAAATTATCACGTGCATTATGCATGGTTTATTTTTATTATACTATGAAATCTTGATAAAAATCAATTGCAGTTCAATCAATCTGATAAAAAATGTAATAGGTAATAAATTCGAAGGTCATAGAAATCTCGCTATCATCATCATTACTGCAGAAGAACGTGACTACTATTTTTGTTATTGTAGTCTACATTATTTTTATTCATGGTGTTACAATTAACTCCTTCAACCACAGAAGAAATATCAAAAGGTGTAGTGAGATCAATAGAATATATGGTAGAGGTAGAGACATTTGTATGACTTCTTGGAATACTGTTTATAATAAGACAAATTGTGTAGCTTCAGATATATTTTTTCTTTGACCAAGAAAGAGACCATATACAACCTTTGCAACATGAATCAGTTATTTTTTTAGTCTGTTATTACATGGATGCATCAACTTGATCTTTTTATTGATCTTATTTTTTATAATTGACATTGAATTGTGCAATGAATATTTTGATTTTTTAATAATATAATTTATTTTTAATGAGTAAAAGTAAAAACTACACAGTTTTTCCAGTCTCCTTTAGTTTTTTAAAGAAAATTTTACATTTTGGTGATATTGGCAGAAAATTAGACAAACTGATGACAATTCTATTTTATATCCTATTAGAATAAACATTGGTTATCCTTAATAAAACTCATTTTTTTGTTACTATTATTGAAGGTCATAAAGAATGCTTGTACAAACCTGGGTATATTTGTGAAGCAAATAGTTTAACATGCAATATTTTTGATAATTCTTTAGCTACTGTAAATACACTTTATCAGCAGCTGTTTGCTTCTAGAGCAAAATATTTGGGATATCTTGTTACAGGGCATGATAAACCAGAAATTAATAATCAATTGTTAACAGATATAACATTTCATCCATTTGGGATCGGTCGCGTTTACTTCATTGAAAATTATTTTGTCGACAATCATTTCGTCAAATGTTCATTTTGTTGAAAATTATTCATCCTCGAGCCAGAGACCAAAAGAGTTAGATGTGAGGAGTGTGGGAAGTTAGTTAAGAAATTAGATGAGGAAAGTGAAATGTGTGAAAGTGTGAGGAGAAATTTGTTTAATGAAGTTTTTTTTTTTGTGACGAAATAATTTTCAATGAAATGAACATTTGACGAAATGAACTTTCGATGAAACAAACTTTCGATGAAATGGGTGTCGACAAAATGACTATTGACGAAATGATTGTTGACGAAATGAATCAAACCCGAATAAATTTTTCATTGAATGGTACAATGACAAAAAAACAACAATTGAAATTACTTCTGCTTTAAAAGAAAAATATCCACCACACCACGAATTTAAAGAAAGAGAAATGTGAGCATGGAGAATTATACTATCTCATACTGGGTGAAAAAACATAATACCTTACAGTAATGATATATCAACAGTAATTCACTCTTGTATAAACCAGCCTGTATATGTTCCTATACAAGTAATTAATTTATTATTCAGTGCTCTAAACTACAAAACTGACTATCTTCTCTCTTTTTGTTCCCATAACATGAGTTTAGAACCATTAACAACTAAGAACAATCAATTAACATTCAACTTGATCAACATATTATTCAAATTGAACTTATAATGGGATGCTTGTAGGATTCCAATCCAATAATAGCTAATTTTATGATGTTTGTGATTCTGATTTAAAGTTGATATGATTGTGAATTTAATATATTTAATATTTTTCCATGGATAAATTTATTGTAAATGAATTAGTAAATAGAAATAAATAAATAAATAATTTTTTAAATTATATTTTTTCTTGTTTTAATATTGTTTTTGTAGTATTTCTTTTTGGATTAGTTCTTCTTTGAGGATTAAAGAATGATCTTTAGTTCTTGTTGGAACTGAACTTTTTGTTTTATCATCATCATCATCATCATCATCATCATCATCATCATTAATCATGCACCCTTCCTTTAATTTCATATAAGCCTTATCAAGTATATTTTGTCTTCCTATATTTTATCAGCATTATTTGAGTGATAACTTTAAAACCATCCAAAAAAATGATATATATTTTTTTTATCTGGAATTATTGGTGGATTGGAATTGGGACTTAATTAAGTCATTACCAAATAATTCCAAATATTTTGGAAGTTGTTGATGAATGCCAACAACATTACTTGTAATAATTTTCTGTTTTAATTTATCCATCTGTAAGCCACCTTAACATAGTTATGTAGAATTTGGTAATTTGACTTGTATGTAAAATTGTCTGCAAACTATCTCTTCATGTGATAGAAGCACGCGTGTGCACCATCATTGAAAACAATTACATATTGTTTTCTATGTCCAAAATAGTGTCTCAGAATCCATACTTTAGACAGTTCCATGCTGGATGAAAGAAGTAATTCTTAAAGGAAAACTTCTGATGCTAGTGATATCGCATTTATATTGTCACTGTATTGTTGATGGAAGTGGTGGCAATGGTAGTAATAATGTTATTGTCATTATTAATGTTACTGGTAGTATTTGTAGTTGGTGATGTTGGTCACATTGGTAATATCATTATTATCATTATCGTTTAGCACATTTAAAAGTTCCTCAACAGAAGATATTAAGAAACTATATGATCATAAAGTAACCATCTCAATTTTAATTCTGGATTGAGAAAAAATAGAATAGTATTTCTCATTGTAAGTTGAGAATGTAATATTGAAGGATACATGTTTTTGGCAGGATACTAGGAGGCTTTTTTTCAGACTTTTGAATGTTTACTTTAATCTGTGTATCAACGAGGCATTTAACTGTCTTTATAACAGCATTCAGACCTTCTAATCTTTGATGATGTTTTTTTCACCAGCTGTCATTATTCTGCATTTCCATGACCAGCCCATTTTTCTTTGGAGTTGTGAATATATTTATTTAGGTAATTTTTGAATAATTCGATTCTGTATTCTATCAAATACAATTGGTGAACTGAAAAGAATAGTTATTTGGATAAAATTATAATGCAAATTATTGTAAATATGGAAACTCCACAAATGATATTTTTGTCTGGAAAACTACTCTCAATTGATGATTCCAAAAAAATGTCATGCATAATCCACTCATAATCAAGCCTGGTTGCTCTAAAAAAACATTCTTTATACAATTGAAAAACCAATTGAATGATTCAACATTTTCATGATTCAACAATGCTTGATATAAAATTATGGATCTTCTTCCATTCATCAAAACTACCCAACTAACTATTCTAAATGATTTAAAATCATTTCCCCATAAAAACATCTAAAGCCTCATTTCTATTAATATTAAAAATTAATATATTCAAATTTCTTTGCTGTCAAAATGGTGGTCACAAAAAAAATGCATAACAATTACACAACATAATAATAATTTTTAACCATTTCTTGAGGAATTTTTCAACTGTAAATTGCTTCAACATTATTCTTCATGATATGTCATCTGTTCTCTATCGGATGGAGATCAGGATTGTTGGATGACCAATCAATTAATCACGTTAGTCCCATTTTCAGCAATGAATTTTTTTCGCAACACGTGATGTGTGTTGTCCTGTTGCAAACGTCAGCTTCTAGCATGAAACCTTTGTGCAGCAGGCAAAAGGTGGTTCTGCTTATGTTTGTAATTTTTCTTTCTGTGTATATAAGCAAAAAATTCAAGCGTGAATTCATGAAATCAGAATGATGTATTATATAAAAACCAATCTTTCCCATATAATTTTTATTATTGTTATAATTTATTCTATGAAGTAGAAATCAATAATTTAACACAATAAATAAATAAATTTTTTTCTACTTACTTATCAAAGGGTCTGGTTGATCTTTTTGGAACGGTAGTAACTATATAGTAATGATGATGGATGACAATTCATTTTCTTACGGGTTGAAGGATTGATTGGTCATTAAAAACAAAATAGTCAATCATATCCATTTAAAGAGAATATAACTTTACTTATTGCTCACCTCATGTTCTGTCAATCAATAATGATGGTGACAATGAATCATCCATAACAATATTCTTCTTTGTCGTTTTAATTGTGCTTCGGATGAAAAAACGATACTGGTGGTAGTAATGGTGGCGTAAAAAGGCAAAACAGTGATAATAATTAACTGGAATGATGATTTCATTCTTTTAATAGAATGAAGGGTTTCTGATCAATAATCACCACCACCATTTTTTTAATAATAACCAGAAAAGCCTTCAAATTTTTGTAAAATAAATAATAATTTTTTTAAAATTTTTAATGTACACAGTTTCACAGTTTAAACCTTTAAACTGGGTTGGTTCTAATCCCTCCTTACATAGAAATAATAAATCGATTTGAACTATTTAGCACCAGTTTTAACTCTGCCGACTAAAATTTTCAGTGAATGAAATTAATTGAATTTGTTGATCAATTTCTCAAAGAACTTTGCTATATATTAATATATATGTAAAACAAATTTTACATTTGGATTTATCATTTTGAACCATCATTAGATCTGGAGTTGTTGAGTTTGAATGGTATCTAATTCAAATTATGTTGGATAATTTCATCAATATCGAATAATTCCAGGAATTATTACAAGGTAAGCGAACATGTATACACATGTGGTATTTCTTTTTCTTGAAAAAACATTTCATATCTTTAATTAATTAATATTAATAATAATAACATCATTTTTTTTTTTTACTATTTCAACAGCTAATAAATAAAAGTATTTGGCTGAATTTTTTTATTTGATGAATCATCATCATAATTTATTGCTTATCCCATTCATAACTTCCACCTCCACCACCACCACCTCCACCTCCGCCACCACCACCTCCATACTCTGCAGGAGCAATAGGTGGTGATTGTGAAACAGCTACAACATCAGGAGGTGGTATTGCTGATTTTTGGAAATCCTCAGAAGTAGGCTGTGTGATGATTGGTTCATCTTTGGGTTCCTGTTTGTAGCATTCAATTTAAGAAATAAAGGAATAAATTATTTGTGGCAATTTAGATAAAAAATTAACAATAATAATAATATTATTATTTACCGAAACGGTAACAATATCAGGTAAATCAGTTTTTGGACCATTTTTTCCGGTCGGATCACTAGCCTAAAATTTTAATAACAATAATAACAACATAATTAACATTATTGATATTTATATGGTATTATTTATCATATAACTAAAATATATAAAATAACAAATCAAAAACCACACAAACACATACTTTCATAATTTTTACTTTAATGCCTAAAACACCTTGCCTTAACATAACATGACGAACTGCTGTATCAACATAATCACGTATTGGTTGACCAGAATGAATCATAAATCCATCAACGAATTTCATTGATTTGGCACGAGCAGCTCTTAATTTTCCTGATACAACTACTTCACAACCTTTAGCACCAGATTCCATGATAAAGCGAAGTACACCATAACAAGCCCTAATTTATTATAATGAATAAAATAAATAAATGAACATACAATTACTATTATTATTATTTAATTGTTGTTAATATTCCTTTCAAAGTTTTTTTATACCTTCTAACAGCAAGTCCTGCCAATAATTTATATCGAAGAGATTCACATTGTGCAATAGCACAAAGACCACGATTTTGCACCTTTTCTGCATACAATTCAACAGTGTTTTCGGGAAATTTAAATCTTTTCTGAATCAAGGCTGTCAATTCACGAATTCTACGACCTTTCTCACCAAGTACATCTTGTGTATGAGTTGCACGAATAATTATTTCAGTTCTTGCGGGTGTTACTCTAACTTCAACACCAGAATATCCTTCTTCGGCTAATTCACGTGTAAAGAATTCATTAAGTTCTGCAAAAAAAACACCATCAGCTACGAACTGAATAAAAAATAACAATTTGATGAATAAATCAATTCTATAATTATTATTATTATATATTAGATTCATCCATATATAACATATATATATATATTAATTAATCTAATTAATCTATTGTTATAATTCTTAGTAAATCAGACATATCTAAATTCCGTGCATTATACCTTTATATTATAAAGGTATTCAAACAAGAGGTGCCAGATAGGATAATCATCATTTATTATAATCAATTTATAATTTTTTAAAAACTAATACTTACTTTTCTCTTTTTTGATATTTGAGTGGCCATGATTTTTTTTTAAATTTTATAAATAAAAAAAAATTTTTGATCTTTTATTAGGTTGCACGATTGGACAGTTCGTCCGCTAAATTGAGATATCCAAAATATAATTAAATCACGTGATATGCATTATACAGTTTACACTATAATAATAACGAACCTCTTATCCCTATATGTAATTTTGCTGCTTTTAATAGTTATAGAGAGTGTTTGCTAAAACGATTTTATAGAGAGAGAAATAAATTATAAAAAAATAATTGACCATTATAGAGATTTTACATAGCGTTCGTTATTTTGCAGTATCTTTTTTTAAAACTTTTATCTCTGAAATTTTAACATGGAATTTTCAATAATAGTTCTGACACAAAAATATACATAATAATCGTACAAAATTATACCAATTTGTAGTGAAAATCCTGGAGATTATGTATATATAACTTCATACTTCCAGATTTCCTAGAACTTTATTGATTATTTTGAAAAAAAAAGTCAAATGCGTAAATTTCTTTAATAATTGCTCGTTTTTTGTTTTTATTCTTGATAATCTAATCCTCAATTTTCTTTTGTGCTTTTTCTTGATAATTGTAAAACGAAGTATCCAAGAATTTCTTGTGATTGCAACTTTAACTGTCAAACATTTAAGATAATTGTTTTCCTTTCTGATTGTCTTCCTATCATCTTACATCTAAAATCATTAAAATTATCACCCAAATACCGCTACAGATTACTGCAATTCTTCTTGCAATACCCCATGAATCTAAACTGCTGGATCCAAATAACCACGCAAGAATGGCTCCCATGATACCTATTGGTTGCAAAAAAAAAAAAAAAATAGGGTCAATTTCTAACTTGTTAAGCAATGCAAATTAAATATATTAATCAAAGGCACCACCAGCTGATGCAATGGTACTTGGAATATCAGTTGTGCTATATTACGGTTCATAAATAAGATAAATAAATTGTATTCATAGTGATGTTTCTAATAACACTCCCCGTTTAAAATGTTACCACGTTTCAAATTTTTCTTCCTGTACAAAATCCCCAGCAACAATGAGAAATAACCATTGGTATAGATGGTTGATTCTGATTATAGAGAAAATTATTGATTATACAATCGATTCTCCGAGTAGTTACATAGTTGGGCTCAAATCCGATAATGGCAGGAACATCCCGAGGTAGTATACTTTTATATATACTGGTTTTGGACTTGATTTAAAATGATGTTTGTTTCCAAAACCATAGAGCTTTGGAACTGTGTGAAAGTCAAAAGGTTTCGTCATAAGTCGAAAGTGGTCTTGACTTTTGACTTTTGATGACTTTTAATTTTAGTTTTGACTTTTGTCTCTACAAAATAGTTTTGGTGACCAAATAACTTTACCCAATCCAGCATGACTATTTAAAAGATTAGCAATTTTATCCATTCTTCGGATAATTATATTTGAACTAGTGTGTAAAAAGAGTATAAATTGCCATTTTTTAAAAAAAAGAACTAGTATGTTGATTTATTAAAAAATGGAGTATAATAATGATCAAAATCTTGCACGAGAAATTGTCAGAAACCATGTAAAAAAGAGCAACTATCTATATGAATATAGATAACCTTACTAAAAAAAGGTATGCCAGTTCGAATATAATTATACTATCTATATTGCAATTTACTGACTAGGCGAAAAAACCCTTAAAGCTAAGCCAACTTTTCCTTTTTCGGCATCCGCTGCATTCATGTTGTAATAAAATTTCAACTTGTTCAAGCCATCAGAGTTTTCAAACGTGTACTCTATAGTTTTGCCGAATTCTTCTCCTCAAAAAAAGTAGTCAGCTCATGAACATAACCAAATATTTATCAGTGCCATTGTTTAAATTAGACAAGAAGAGAAAGTTTAGTGTGTATACAAATTATGGACTACCAGTATATCAAAATAAAGATAATATATTTCCTTTATAAAGCTACCAAAAGTCGTATATACAAATTCCGATCATTTTTCATTGTCTAAAATTTTACAAATAGGCGAAGAAAAAATATATTTGTTAATGCAAATTTGCTTTATTGAAAACTTTTCAATAAAATGTTCTCTTAGTTCAAATATTCATTCCAAAAACACTTCCAGATACAAAAAAAACCATATTCTAAATGGTTTGATTATTAATAAATGAATGATTGTATATATAAATATACATATTAAGTGTATAAAGAAATTTTTCAAAATAAATTTTTTTTTTTATCTTTACCAAAACTTATAATAAATTTCATACTTGTATTCTTTTCAATTCAGTATCAAGTTAACATGCTTTAGTGATAGTTATCTAAATAACAATATATTTATTATTGGAGCATGCTGTAACAAAACCAAAGTGAACAAAGAAACTACAGGGGGAAATAGATAATAATAATAAACGGCATTTATTTGTCACTGTTAACTGATTAACGTTATTATTATAAGCACGTTAAGAATCCTTTTAATAATAATAATAATATTTACTATTTTAAACGGATTAACCCATTACAAATCTGGATGAAAAAATACTCAATATTAATGTTAATGTTAATAATTATTATTAATGGATTACGAATTATAATAACAACACTAAATCCTATTACTATTACTATAATAATAAAATAATAACAAGCTAATAATAATAGTAGTAATGCAAAATTAACGGATTATTGTGTTGTAACGGATAAGGCCTTAATATTAACGGGTTATAACACTATTACTATTACTATATTAAAATCAATGATATTTGCATTATTTTCATAAAAGCGTAACTATTTTTAATATTAATTATTTCTTTATAAAAATTCTTTTTTCTGGAAAAAAAAGATTGCAAGCCAATTATAGGTAACTAAAATTCTGAAATGTTTTGAGAAATAAAGCGTTATAAATTCTATTGAATATATATGCTTGTCTAGCAACCAGGCGAAGTGGATATATATTTGATCTGTCCTTGTCAAAAAAAAAACAATTATAATAATATTAGTACTAATATGTTACAAATTCCGTACCTTATATGCAGAATTAAAACGTACCTTTTCATATTCAGCATGTTGCAAATTCCGTGCCTTATATACGGAATCAAAAAGTACCTTTTCAGTATTAGTATTAGTATGTTGCAAATGCCATACCTATTCTGTACCTTATATGCGAAATCAAAAAATACCTTTTCAGTATTAGCATTACTATTACTATCACTATTACTATTATAATTTTTTTTCGGAAAAATTCCGTATACTTTATAATAATTATTCCATAGAAACAGCAATAAAAATAAAAATTATAATTCATACGGAATTTCCGTATGCAAATTTTCTGTAGTAATAGTAATAGGACTCCAAAGGACAAAATATTGATATTACGCTATTAATTGTTTCGGTTACACAATCATCATGTCATCATCTATTTTTTGCAATATACATAACCTAGGCAATAATGTAATAGAGGGGGGGGTTTTAAATTTTTATTAATAAAAGAAAGGTATGTGTTTGAGTTACAAGGATTTACTATATATATAAATAAAAAAACCAAATCTAGCCGAAAAAAGCTTTTTTATTATTTTTTTATTGACGATTCTGGTCGAGTCATGTGATTCATAAGATAGCGATACCCTCCGGAAATTCGACCTATTATGTATGCTATTGTAGTATTGAATTTTAGAATGAACAAGTAAAAAATGAGTATATATGTCTTCAATAATAAATTACATATTTATTTTTCATTCTTGCATTATGCTTAAATTATTCTTGATTTACACCTAATATCTAAGTATGTTTTAGACTTTGAGTAGGGCAATTATGCTGATCCGCACGCAATCTCTTTGTCTTCTAAAAGTCCTTTTAGTCGGGATTATGTAAAGAAAAAATCCTTAGTGCTCTTCTTCATAAAAGTACCGTCTAATACCAATAATACCAAGTTTTATTCGTTCCCCTAATCACATGGTGACGGTACGGCTACTATTTCGTACTATTACTATTACTATATCAATATACAGAAATGAGCTTACTATGTCATATATATATTAATTCAAATTAAAGTTTAATATTACATACATATAATACATACACAATAAATATATCATGCAAAAGTCTCTAAAAACAGAAAGGCTATAATTATCGATAAACCTATAGTCATCATAACTGAAACGTCGAATTCTTCATTTTGAATAATTACAGCTGAATCAATAAACATTTTTTGAAATTTTAAATAATTACAAGTCGCCCATATAATTACAAAAAAACCTAAACTTATAAACATCAATCCAATTATATTATGTATTGTTTCTTCTGATGGAAAAAATGAAATTGATAAATTAAATAATTCGTTGCTAGAATTTGGATTTTCACCAACATCATCACCATTATCTATATGATAAATATGTATTAAAAATGATATTCCTACTAAAAATAAAGCAATTCCGAATTTGATAAAACTCAAGCATGTTCTTTGAATTGCTTTATAAAAAAAATTTTTTTTAAAATTAGTGATGGGAGATAAATATATTATAGAGATGTGTGCTAGCTAAAAGACAATTTACTTACAAAATTGATCCCTTGCCATACTACCAACATTTCTAATTATTATGGTAGATGGGAATCTTTGATAAAAAGGTTGACTAGATATTTCTACGACATTTCTATCATTTGATTCAAGATTAGCTCTTGATGTATGAGAGGATTTATTCGGATCGTTATAATTAAATGTTCCGTAATTTTTATTTTGAAGGTTTTGTAAAAATTGCATTATTTTGATTTTTAAAAAAGAATGGAAAAATTATATTTGTCTTTATTATTCATTTATATTAAATTTCAATGATTACTGTGTAACTTTTGTTTATTGTCTATGCATTAATCATTTTTTGCATTTTTTGTTAATCTTTGTATGTAAATAAAAATTGAAATAAATAAAGAAATTATCGACATGTGACTACATCTTGAGATAAAGCTAGTATAAATTTAGAAACTATTTGATGTTGATTTCAGATTTGGTTAGAATTACATAACTGATTGGCGAATGCTAACCATATTAACATATGTAAATTATTGTTTAACATAAACAATCTATTATATTAAAAACGTTGGGTTACAAAATTAAAATCAGCTGATATATAGTTGTAACCCGCCAGCGAAAGCAACGAGGCTACAACTAGTCTTATTGAAATCGTTGGGTTCACGTGAGTGTAACGTTTAGATTACTGCATATAAATATAAATATAAATCTATTATATATATTAAAAATTAAAAATTTTGTGTAATTAATATAATAATAACAATAATGCAAGTAATGCAAATAAATGTATATCGACAATATATATCACAATAAAATTCATATATTACGCGTTTACATACTTTAAAAATAACAAAATAAAATAAACTATGGGTAGAAATAACACTATAGATGAGACTTCTGAAGAACATCAACGAAGACTTAATCGTGAACGACAACAGCGTTATCATAGAAATATGGATTCTGAAGGCTCCACAGGACTTGAAGTTATTCTAACCTCTTCATTTTTAGATCCCAGTTTTAGCATTACCTCAGAAAACAAATGACTACCCCATTGAGCAAGGAATGAAATCAAAACTGTCACTTTTTAAAATCTATATATTTATAATAAATTGCGACCAAACTTACTATAAATGGGATTAGTAAATATATATATACAGCAGATAGATTTATATATATATATACATATTGGATATGTATACCGTAAAGTCTGGAAAGATAGCATCCCCTTTTTACATATGTGTAACATTTTTTATATATTGACGCTCAATTGTTTTAAAGTAGGGGGTGCTATCTTTCCAGACTTTACGGTATATGTACATATATTTATATTGATATAAATATGTATATATATCTGAGAAGTTATTATAAATGCAACAGAATAAAAACCTGTGTTCTACTCATTGGTTAGTGTAATAAATAAATGTATGCCAGAAATTAGCTGGTTTTAGGGGGGTGAGTTGTTGGTCTTTGGATCAGGTCACATGGTATTTTATATATATATAGTTGGGCTCTATAATAAGACAAATTTAAAATCAGCTGATTGTAACCCGTCAGCGAACTGACAGGTTACAACTAGTAAAAATAAAAACTCCATTCAATTAAATATCGTACTTCGTGACCTCCTCATCTGAAATTTTGACTTCCTGAATAAACATCGTCTATGTAATTAAAGTTGATTTAATAAATTTTTGTTTAAATTCTTTTGAAAATTTTAAACCACAAAATGTCAGTTTCAACAAATGAAATATAAATGTTTTATTGATTGGCCAAGCCAGCCGATTCATTGGATGGTTACACATTCAAAATCAGATGATCAACACATGATTTTTAACTGTGTAATAAGTATGAATGCAATCAATCACTACAAGCCAGTTCCCAATTGGTATTTATGTTCAGAGTTGGAAATAAGAATAAGAGTGGTGTAAAATCACGAATTCCCTATTAAAATTGATAGAGTATTGGAAGCCGCCAACAAAATATTTAGATATTATTATTTATCATTTTCTTATTAAGTTTTGTGCAATTATTTGTGCGTGGCTTTTGTTCAGATAGTGTACAGGTTACTATAACAACTATAAAGCTAAATAGGGAAATATTAAATTCTTATCTGGAAAAAATAGAGATGACATTTGATAGCTATTGACTAGTTCTACAACCTATCGTCGAGATAATTTTAAAAAAATTACAGTCAAACCTCGATAAACCGAACTTTGGAAATCACAAAAATAGGATCGATCGGCTTATCAAAATTCGATTTATGATAACAAAGCGATTTTTATTAATTGTTCAAAATAAATTCGTTATAAAATATAAATTTTTATTTGACGATCCGCGAATAAATTGGAGAATCTTACATAATGACCAGCGGAGGAAAATTGACCAATTGAGTACCATTGCATGAAAAATGGTACTATAACAGATAAAAAAAAAGAAAATTTGCCGTGTTACTGTCTTTTTCTAAATTCCGTAATTTTTTGTCGATTTTGCAAATTAATTTCTTTTTTTGTGTTAAGTTCTGTTTGGTTTTGGTGTGATCAACGTTTTCACCTTATTAAGCGAATTTTGGGTCGTACGGCAAATATTCTGTTTATTAAAAAGAGTTCTTTGCAATTGTAACTGCAAGTGCCTTGCCATTGTCTGTTATTTGTAATGATATTGCAATGAACTTCCGCTCCCCCAATTTTTTATTTATTCGAAAAAAGGTTCATTATATAATCGAATGTTGATTGATCATCTATCGAATTGGTAATAATAAACGAGATTATTTTTGTTGTATATAAATTATTTATTATATTATTAATTAAAGAAATCGATCAAAACTTTTTAGAAATAGCGGAATATATACTTGGAACAAAACAGACTAGGTAAAATAAAAAAATACGAGACTGATAAACCTGATTTGCGACGAAAAACATTTTTACACAGCTGCGCAACCTCTTTGTTGGGAAATCCGAAAAACGTTTTTTTAAATTGTTTACGTAGTGTCCAACAGCTGCGCAACTAAAGTTATTTGAATATTATTTATATTTATAATTATCAAACAGAATCTATTTTTTTAAACAATAAACAATATCTTTTAAATTATGGCTAAAATTTACGATTGATAATTTTTTTTTGATATATACGATAATGAGAAGTTACTATTAAAGTGTAGAGTTGTTAGTCGAAACGTTTTGAACTTTGTTGAAACGTTTCGTCATTCAACATTTAGGCATGTCGAAAGTCTAAAGTAATTTCGAAAGCCCAAATTAATGTCAAAGGTCTAAATTGATTGATCATATCGAAAGTCCAGATTGACGTTGAAAGTCTAAATAATGTCAAAATGCCTAAATTTTATTGAAACAAAATGCCTAATGTTGTTAAAATGCTTTAAATTAGTCATAGTTTACTAATATAAATTCTTACAAATTACAATAAAAATAAAATCTATTCCCTTATAACAATCCTGGGAATGTTTCGCAAAAAAAATCACAAAATTTATATTTTTCTATGATAAAGATTGAATTGAATGTTAGAAGAAAAAATTAAAATTTCCTTGTAGATCGTGTGTCACGGTGAAGTTACATTGTATTAATGATAAAAGATGAATGCAATTGATATTTTCAGTGTATACACAATTAATCAGCTAATTTCAAACAAAAAAAACCGCATTATTTTATTATTATTAAAAAGTTGGCTCTATTCTCAAATTTACCAATACTAATATTATTAATTTAGAAAAAATATTTAGACTTTCGACATTTCAACATGTTTCGACATTACGGCAAATCAAGTGACCTTGTCGAATATATTTCGACAGTCGAAATGCTTAAATGTCTGTTGAAACCATACCTTTCAACTAACAACTCTATTAAAGTGTGAGCTCGTTGGTAAGCTGTTTGAACACGGCATCTGCAATGGAACGATAGGTGTGATCACCAAAGTTATAGATAATGATAATGTAGAAATTACTTTTCATAACATTATTAAAATGAACGTTCGAAAAAACACTATAAATTTTGAAATAAACGGTGCACATGCCTCGAGGGCCAATTCCCATTGCAGAACGCATTTGCCTTGACAACTCACAAGACCCAAGGCGTGACATTACCACATGTGACTCTAATGATTGATGAAAATATGTTTGCCCCACGATTAAATCTTTAAAAAATATATTTTGATGTAACACGTGCTCACTAATTTTATATTTGAAATGTTTTGAAATACCCCTTTTTTTTTAAATTTTTAAAAACTCTACTATTACTATATACCTTGTTATTATAAAATAAAAATTTCTCGCGTAAAAAAAAAGGATTTAACAAACTTTTTAATCTTCTTTTTTCAACTCATTTTAACTCATTTTACAAACAAATATCTATTAATACAAAAATGAATACTACTATTTTAACTTCGAAAGATTATGTAGCTGATAATGTTAATTTCCCGGTCTGGAATGGATTTCATCCTGGAAAAATAGCAGAAGCAGTAAATTCAGTACAAAAATTGGAAATTGATAATGTGTTTAACTCATATTCTGAACTTTGTCTCCAATATGATACGTTAAGAACTTATTATGGTGCTAATCAGGATCATTATAGAGAGTATGTTTATTTTTTTTAAAAATAGCCCTATTATTTATTTATTTACTTATTTACTTATTTACTTATTTACTTATTTATTTATTTATTTATTTATTTATTTATTTATTTATTTATTTATTTATTTATTATCATATTAGAAAATCTCATTTTTTACCACCAAAATATAGCTTAAATGTTGATGAATATACCAAGATTGATAAAAAATTTATAGACAAATATGGCGATGAATCTTGCAAATATCCAATCAGGAGAAAACAATTAGCAATTTTCCCAAATATTCCTCTTGATGTATTCTCCCAGATTTGTGAAGATCTACCACCCTCTGATTTGTTGGCACTGGTACAAACTTGTTCAAGATTCCACTTTATCTTAATGGATAAATGTGATGGAACCCAAAAAATTTGGAAAAAAGCAAGAATGGCTTATTTTAAAGGACTGCAACGACCACCACCACCAAGCTGGAATGAATTGCAATACATTAGATTCTTCCTTGCTTCACCTAGATCCTGCATGTTTTGT